CAAAATTTACCTGAAATATTGACTACCTAAAAAAAAAAAAAGTGATATGATTACTTTTTCTTCATGACCTTGGACATGATATGCAGATATTATATGATATACCATCAAATTGAGTAATTTAGCCATTCTTTTAAGAAACCTAACCCCTTTTTCATGTTTATTGAGATCCCCCCGATGTTCCCTTTATGCCATTCATTAATCCCCGGCAATAAGCACATTACTTTACTCAAAGCATGCACATTTACCCCACCCCCCTCTCTTTACTATAATCCTGTATTATTGTAGCACGTTTCCTCTCGAGAAAGTTCGTCCCAACACAATTGATTGAAGGCCCCCTCTATTATAAAATGTGGCATGATGTAATTAACAATGGCTACTATTAAAATGGTCGGTGGCATGGGAACTTATAATTGGGATTGCGTCAATGGCCAATTAATGTATCAACACGCTAAAATTTATTGCATGGATCATTATAGAACTATGAAACAACTTTTTTAAATATTTTTATGGAACAACTTTAATAATACTCTTTCTTTTTAAAAAATAATAATATTTGGATTTCATTACCTATTTTCAAAAAATAATAATATTTGGATGGTCGAATTGTTTTGGAGGTGGGGTTATTCGCACACCTTTAATACTTAGAGTGTTTTTAATTTATGTCATTATGTACGGTAAAATATGTAATTATTTTATATTTTTAATATAAATTAATATTAAAAAATAAAAATTGATATTTATTTAACAACTACCTTATTAAAAATGATACATACGGTAATGATGGTGAAATTAATATCAATTTTTGTATTTTTTAATATCAATTAATACAAAAAAAAAGTACAATAATTATATTTTTAACATATACTTTAAAAGTCCAAGTTAAAAACAAAAAAATCCTAATACTTAATACCTACTTTTTAAATTTAGCTGTTAAACCCTTACACTATACTTTTTCTTGAAACTTTGTATTTTTTTTATTTTTTAAATAAATTAAAAGTTATTAACTAATTTATTTTTAAACAATTTTAAAGATTTACTTTCTATATTAGTTTAATACCTTAAAAAAATCAATTTCTTCGATGATGGCCTCTAAAACAATATATACTTATCAATAAATCCTGAATCTGATTTATAAAACAAAATATTCTTATCTTTTTTTTTTTTGGTATGCCAAAATTTATCTTTAAAATCAATAATTAGGGTTACTTTAGTATTACTCTGTAATAAAATAAAATATCACTTTGGGATCTACTTATGCTGATACCATTTATTTGAAAATTAATTAAAAACTATTGACTTTTATAAGGTTGATACTGTATTTTCGAATTGACATATGCATGCATGAAGAAATTTTGTGAAAATTGAATAGTAATATTAAATCACACTTAAGATTTAAGGTAAACTTGAGCAATAAATTTTATATGGTCTGCAAATTTTGACAAGCATAATGCTATCCCACCTAAGGTGGGGGAAGTTTTCCTTCTGAAACGATAAGCCTTTAAGAAATGGGTCCCTTTAAAGATGCTTGAAACACGGCACAAGTCGTTATCATCTCATACAAACCAAACTACCTAGACACCTGCCAATAGCCTTCATCGGAGTCACCACATTCACCATTTGATGGCTGATAGGTAATCTCCAAATAGCTATTACTAACAATTGGTCTTGTGCTTCAGCTTGCATATTACCAAATCAGATATCATTTCCCCTTAACAGCTCTATACGGTGGAACATAGGCCACGCTAATGGGTAATGGCCACTTGAAATATTATAGGTGTATTTGATTTGTTTAATTTTATTTTTATGAGAATTAATTAAGATGTTTGAAAGTATCGACTTAAGTATATGTTAATTTCAAGTTGTTAAGAATAAATATCAATTACT